ACCGACAGATATTAGACTGAAAATTGGAATTGGCAAATGGATGATATCAGTGTCTCTGATACACATAAAATATTCAGAAAATCGGTTTACAATCTCTTTAAGTACTAAAGTTTTTGAATGGCAATTAATACTTAAAGATATATAGACACAGCTTTATGGAACAACAATCACTGGTTAAAGTTTTATGCAACGTTTCGACGTGTTTCCCCCGTCGTCCTCAGGCACATAAAACTTTAACCAGTGATTGTTGTTCCATAAAGCTGTGTTTATATATCTTTAAGTACTAAATGACTTTCAACTGTTTAACTAATATTGATAATCAGTAGGAAATGAAATAGAGTTTTATATCCTGTTTTATTGTACCTCATTAGTACTTCACTCTCCCCTTAAGTTTCTTGTTATGCCATTGCCATTTCCCTCTTTGAATGAATGTAAAATATCCAAGAGTGAAGGGTTGATGGTATGACATGCTGTAGATTAATTAACATGTCCGAAGTAAGTGCTATGATGTTATAAGACAAAACTTAAACAGACTGAGATATGGTCCTTCTTAATTCATTGGCATTGCTACGAATCGTTAAGTTGGAGAGCTGAGTAGAAGCCACAAAATTGTCAATTGGTATCAAATCACCAGGCATTTAAGAACTAAACAAAATTAAAAATGAGTCTTATTATGCCATTTCTATAAATGATTGAACAAGTCTAAGATATCCAACTGAGAAGGGTTGATGAAGTACATGACTCTACGGGTTAGTTATGTCTGTAATTATTGCTTATACACAATATTGAAAACGGCCATAGCTCTGTCTGTTAACCCTTCGAACAGTAGCAGCCGCTCTACCAGCCAGATAATTATGTCACTTGTTACTTTGATTGAACAAGTCTAAGATATCCTCCAGGGAAGGGTTGATGAAGTACATGACATGCCTCTACAGGTTAATTATAACTGTAATTAGTACTAATGATCATTAAGACTAGTTGTCTGGGACAACTGGTTAAAGACTAGACTTGGCATTTGTTTCTTACTTGTTTTGTACAATTCAACTAAAACTAAGCGTTCATTATGTCATTATCTCAAAGGGTGCAATAGTGACGTTATAAAACACTTAGTTTTAGTGAATTTGCAAGAACCACAGATGTCTGGCCAATAATGGGAATGATGAAAATCTTTGTCTTCAATACACATAAAGGGTTATTGCTCTGGACCTTATATATAAAATTAGCAGATTTTGCAATAGTGACGTTATAAAACACTTAGTTTTAGTAAATTTGCAAGAACCACAGATGTCTGGATAATAATGGGAATGATGAAAGTCTTTGCTATTAGTGTCTTCAATACACATAAAGAGTTAATAATAAGAGCCTGACTAAAACTCTTACTTTTAGTGAAATTGCAAGAACCAAAGACATCCGAAAATTGGAATGGAGCAAATCTTTGCTATCAGTGTCCCGATACACATAAAAGGCTAGGAAATCGCTTACAATCCCTTTAATCTTTACTTCCGACTGTCAATTACCACTATGATATAAATATTTCAAATTATACCAAGTGAATTGGTGCACACTGCAGGTTTAGTTGACTTCAGTAAAGAATTTTAAACGATGTTTGACTTTTTTTTTAATTTAATAAAATGACTGACATTTGGGAATTCTAAACCCAAACCTTGAGCAAAGTTTAGAATATTTTTTAGTAGATTGTTGTTGCTAGTAAAAATATTTTTGTGTTTTATAAGTGCATTTGATGTGTTACAATCAGTGTTTAATCCATACTCTTATCAATAATAGATGTAGTCATGGTTAACTTTATTCAAATAGCTTCATGTTAATCAGTCATCAACCTTTTTTCTAATGGAGGGACAATGGATAAAAGCTAGCTTAACTTTTAAATAAACCAGTTGAGTCTACTGATACCATCATAAATTGAAAGTTATCATACGAATTGAATAAGAAGCCTCTTTTGAAAATATGTTTTGGACGTGTTGAAATGAAATGAATGGAGTTTTACATCCTACTTTCCTACACAAGTGGGCTAATGAAGACGGGCAACACCATGCAGAGTACAATGAGAGAAATTTTGCCAGGACAGCGGCATTAATTTGCTCTTTTTCGATTTTCAACTGTCTAGGGATCTTTAACATGCACAACCTTTAGCACACTGGACCTCAGTTTATTGTCCTATTCAAACGACTAGACGCCTTTTCCATGTTAGCCCCTCTTACCTACATCACTGACAGGGGGAAACGGAATTGAAAATTTCGAAAGTATTATCTGGACCTATTCCAAATTGAACCGTGCACCTTCAGGTTAGCGAGCAAACGTCTAACTCACTGAGCCACCGCGACTTGCTTGGACGTGTTGAAGAAACAATGATGATGTGTAATGTACTTTTAAATTGAATATCTAACCTCAAACGAGTCACAATGGCACTATTCTGCATTCCTCCAAGAGTAGAAATCAATATTAAGACAATGGGTGGAAATTTGAGAAATTTCACAAAATGACATGAAAGAAAAGATATTAAATATTTAATGACCTTGTCGATGTTCAATTTCTACCTGGAGCTTATACTCTTGAAAACTTAGTCATTCTTAGTCATCTGATTGGTCAATCAATAAAATTGATTTTAAATTTTTGAATTAAATTCAATCCAATCAGATTTCTCTATGTATTAAAATCTGGATTTTATCTGTTTAAAAAAAACAGCGGGCATGTGCAAAACCATAGAAATTAAGTTATATCAAATCTAAAATTTTTCTGTTTTTAGAAATTTTAAAAAGTTAATAACATCTGCTTCCTAATGTTCTTATATAAAATATGAATTGCGATGTATTAGGGCAATAAATCATGTCGTTGGATGAATATGGTTTTTTGTATCAATCAAGAATTTCTGTAGTTTCACAAAATAATTCATTATTTCTTTTTTGGTAATCATTTGTTGTTTTTTGTCAGGAATTGAAGATCTTTATATTACTTGAAAAACTTATTATCATTATAATCATTAGATACACAGGAAATAGCCTTTAAAGTCTGTTAATAAGTTGCATAATATATGATATAACATCCTACTTTCTTTGGTGAAAATTTTTTGTCATTTCTTGTTGGGAATTGACAAACTTAAAGGGAGAAGTCCTAAAGTGATATAGCATATTTTGCGAATAGTGACATCATAAAACACTAGTTTTAGTGGAATTGCAGGAATCACAGACCTCTGATTGAGAATTGGAATGTTGAAAATTGATGCTATTAGTGTCCCCGATACACATAAAGATTTTAGAAAACCTCTTTACAATCTTTTAACATTTCAATTAGTACAATGACACATAAATTCCTTTTAATTCATTGAACAAATACAAAACATACTTTCAATTCAATACCATATTTATAAAGGTCATTAAAGATTATTATTTACTCTTGTCTTATTGATTGATTAATTGATTGATTTTGATTGCTCATCTTCTAGTATTGATCATATTGATCACACTTGTTGAACAGGAGAGTGGTGAAACAATGGATTTGTTTGCCTTGGGCCTTATTACTAAAAAACTTAATTTGAAATGTTTTGAGTTTATTTGCTTAATCACTGACTTGGTCAAACGGATTGATGCTCAAGAATAAGACCCTAAATGAAGTGGTTAAATTAAAAATAGATGCTAATAAAAAACGGAACGAAAGCTTGGTTTATTTTGGTGAATGTTGCAAATTGTTATGATTTAAAGAGGCAAGTGCGCCATTTTTGGTAGTTGATTTAGTCTTTAATATATGTCAATAAAGTATGATTGGTAAAAAAAAAATGGTACATCTGTCCCTTTAAAAACAAAGCTGCCAGTGGGTGTACATTACCATGCCTGGCAATCTAAGTTTCAAAGGGATAAAGGATTATTTTCTCAACTCTCGTTATTTTGACACAATACCATTGCCTACATTCACATAAAGTTAATATAAGATTTTGAACGACAGAGAGCACATAAAACAAAAACCACAAAGATTTTAACTCATGTTTCTATACATGTAAATATGAAGTCTATTTTCTACTCGAGTCAGATAAGTTCAGCCGTAAGCCATGGAAACATCTTAATATAACCCAAACATCTTGAGTTTCAAGAGAAACATTGTGTAAAAACATGTCTAGGCTATGAAACATGTTAGATAATATACTAATACATGTTTTATGGGTTAATGAAAAAGAAATTCTAGCCTCTTTTCTATGGTTTAATGGAATTTAATGATAAAAAACCCAGACTTTTAATTTTTTTTAAAAATACTGCTTGGATATAAATAGATGTACTTATATATGATTGATAAAAATTGATGGCCTCTTTCTTGGGGGATTCTATAGCTTTTTATGAGATAAAACAGACTTTTCAGTAGAAAAATAGACTATGGAATAATATACTAATTCTTGATGATTACATAATAAAAAAAAATACTGGTTTTTTAATTTGGTGTTATGGCATTTTATGAGATAAAACAGACTTTTCTGTTGAAAAATAAACTGCTAATTTATGAATTATGTTAAATAATATTCCAAAATATGTTTGATGAATACATTAAAAAAAATTCTCTACTCTTTTTTGATAATAAAAAGAAAAATTTTTTATAGTAGGAACATAGGCAGTATTATTTAATGATGTAGACAATAACCGCCCTGGTTTTTGCTTCCATGTTGCATATATATTTTCAAGATATTCTCAATACAGTGTAGCCATGTTTATCCGATAATCTGGAAACCCCGCTATCCACAAGCTTTTTACTGGGAACGGATAATTTACTATGTAACATTACCCGTTAATCCGGTGATTCGGTTTCTAGTTCCGCACGGCTCTGATAGGGAACCAATTATCAAATTCGATAGTAATTAGTTTTCATCATCCTTTTGCGGAACTGTGAATTCTTGTCACTGACGTTTAATTTTTCAGATATAATCATGTCATTTTAAGTCAACCTTAAACAAAAGTTAAATTTAAGATTTTCATGTTTTCTCTTTTCCTTTATTTCAGGCAATTACCATTGAGAAGATTCCAGAAAAACTGGTGCTCAATGCATTTTCGTTTCTCAAACATCGAGAGTTGGGAAAAGTGGCTCAAGTGTGTCGAAAATGGCGTCTTTTGGCATACGATAGCAGACTATGGAAATCGGTTTCGTTAAGACCTGAGTATTCTGGACTACATGTGAACAATGTAGAAACATTGTTGGCTCTGATCAACCTACGATTTGGACCAACGTTACATTATATTGAACTTCCATGTGACCTAATTACAGCCCCTATTATGCAAGAACTGTCAAACAAATCACCAAATCTTCGCTATATGGTTTTAGATTTCTCCAACGCTATGCAACTCCACGATTTTAACGATATGAATGCGTTTCCGTGTAATTTACGAAGTTTGTGTATATGTTTATCTGAAGTGATATTTTTGGAAGGATTTATGCGTCGAATATACAGTTGTTTGTCGTCACTGGAAGTTCTCCATCTCATAGGTACACGTAAGTTCTAGAATCAGTTCTTCATTCATCTTTTATCATTTTATATTTCTCATCTGAGAACATATACTTTATCAGTGCTCTTTATTACTTTTGATGGTAGCACTAATGATCAACAGTATCGACCGGGGCTATCGATACTATAATGAAGTTGTAGAGTTGAATTGGAGTTTGGGGGTTTCGTTTGAGTAGGTCTGGGGGTTGATATACAAGTAGTTGCTAAGCCGAAGTGTCGAGATGGTCTTAGATGCTGGATGTTGGGTTTTAGATAGGGTTAAGTATAAATAACGAGATCTGAAATAGTAATGAATTGGAAAACATTTAAACATTTAGAATATACGGAGCACAAAATCATAGTTTGGAGGTGCCATTGTTCACCCAAACCTGCGTTCGAGATCTACGGTACTTATAATCTTTGATTCAAGAGATATTTACATTGTGTCCTTATTTCGTACCTTATAAGTGTTTCAATTGATGATATATCCCGACATTGCGATATTCAAACGATATGAATTTGTATCCGGGTATTTATCATGATACAGGTATATCGCCCAGTTTAACCATCTGACAAGGAACAAAATGCGGCTATACAGGATTACAAATTTGTCCATTTACTATATTTTTATTTTGCCTGTAAATTCCCTCTGTTGACCATTTTTATTCTAGGAAGTAGGAACGTTTGAATTGCCAACAGAGAACCATGTTATACTTTTCATATCATGCCTGTTGATCATTATTACCAAACATCTATTAATTTTTACTTGACCATATTTGTTTCAGGAACTTTTGAGATGTCCACGGAATCGGAAGAAGATGTGTATGAAGTCATCAACATCAGTAAAATCAAAGCACATACGCCAAATTTAAAAATTGTGAATTTTTACGGAATTAGTTTTCTAGATGATTCTCATATAGAACTGCTGACGTCAAACTGTATTCACCTGGAATGTTTGGCTTTGAATTTCTGTCTACGTATTAAAGGAGCCTCGTTTAAAACTTTGATTCAACGATGTAAAAAACTTAAAACTCTACTGCTGCAACATTGTGGTAAGTTTACTCTTTGAATTTGTTTTGGATTTCAGTGATTTTGATAGCTGGAGCGAGTTTCATGCAAACTCAACAATCTTAAAGGAACTCCTTCACTATCCATTCGACCAATCATATGTTAGTTTCTGAAACAGAAATAATCAGTAATTGTGTTAACAGCTTACTGTCGAAATTTGAGTCTTCAAATCCATGTGTATCCATAATTATTCATGTTTGAAAGTTAATTTTTTTAGTACTTGTTAAGACTATTAAAGCATAATAAAGACCCAAATCAATCCCCTAAAATGCCGACTGTCCCTCTTTAACACTGGATTATATTTGAACACTGAAAGTAGCAGTGGATACTAATACTCTGAAAGCCAAAGCCTGATATAATGGACCATTTATTCATCTATTTAGCACCCTTCAAACTCTTTTTGAAATCGACCACAAACAGGCATACTTTCTATCAAAATAAATTGTGTGCATATGATTGGAAGAGCTTAGGGCTGGGCGATATACCAGTATCACAATAAATACCGGTATAGGAATTTATATTGTTAGTAATATCGCCTTATTAAAAAATACTGAAATGTCACCATATCATGATATATGATAATTATTATATATTATTGATATATTTTTGTTCAGATAAGATCATCAAAATTCTAACAAGTAACTAAATATTTGTAATAGTTGTTTTTTTCATGATGTTAAAGACCCTTATTGTCATATATTAATGCGTAATATTGTGATATCAACTTAAACCAATATCACCCAGCCCTAGAAAAGCTAATTTGTGAATATGGTCTTCTTTTTGTTGCCTGTCACTTTTACTTCTTTTAACTCCCATGTGGTTGGTGAGTTGGACCCTTGCCCACAATCCTAAGAGTTTGATCTTGTCATAATTTGAGGTGATCTCTTCCATGTTTCCAAACTAGCTTTCTCGTTTTGATGGGACAATAAACAGAGGTTCTGTGTGCTACAAGCTATGCATGTAAAAAATCCCTCTACAGCTGGACTCAAAAAAGAGTACTCTAATACTTCTCTCCTGGCAAAATTTGCCACATTACACATTATAAGACATGATCCATCTTCATTAGCCTAATCAGGTGCAGAAAAATGGACCTAAAACTCCATTTCATGTCAAGTAAGTCTTTCAGTTGACTTTTACTAACTCTTGAAAGACTGTAATATTGCCAAAATGTGGAGCTTTTAGTCTAGAAATAGTTGAATCAATATCATCTTTATAACAATATAGATATTTTACTACATGTGGTTGACTTTCACTAACTCTCATTCTTGTTTCAATAATTGACTATTTGCCGTGTCTGCGTGATTCTATTACAGACCAGATATTGAGTGGTTTTATACGAGCAAATTATGTCAAATAAATGAAGCCACAAATTAGCCAAGTACCAGCATTGATTCCTCATTATTGAGCTGATTACTGTAGAACTGTTTCCTGTCCTGGCACTGGAATGAATGAATGGATGGAGGAATTAAGGAATGGATGAATGGAGCCACAAATCAGCCAAGTTCAAACATTGATTCTTTAGTTGATTAGTGTCGAACTGGTTATAGATGGAGTGGATAAAAATGAATGAATAAGGCAACACAGGAATTGGCCTAGAACTGTCTTCAGTTTAACATGGTGCTGGGCAATAGATTAGAATGCATGCAAGTAAAAATCATCAATTCTTGATGCCTGTCCTGGCACTAGAATGCATGAATGGAGGAATGAATAAATGAATGAATCGAGCCACAAATTAGCCTAGTACGAACATTGATTGTTCATTATTAGGCTGATTAAAGAAGAACTTCTTCTGTTTACCATTGATCTAGGGTGGAAGGATGGATGGATAAATGAGTGAGTGAGTGAATGAATGAACTAATACAGGAATGAATGAATGAATGAATTAGCCCAGTACGAACATTGATTCCTCATTATTGAGCTGATTACTGTAGAGCTGTTTCCTGTCCTAGCACTGGAATGAATGTATGGAGGAAGGAATGAATAAATGAATGAATGAATGAGGTCACGAATGGCCTAGAACTGGTTTCAGTCTAACACAGCGCTAGGCAATAGATATAGAATGCATGCAAGCAATAGTCGTCAATTCTTGATTACTGTAGAACTGGCTCCTGTCTAACTTGGTATCGAAATGAATGAATGAAAGGACAACAATGATTGGTTCAAGAATACTATCATTTTCTTACTCGGTGCTTGACAATAGAGTGAATGAATGGATGAATGAATGAATGAATGAATGAAGGCACAAATTAGCCAAGTACGATCATTGATTCATTATTAGGCTGCTAATTGTAGAATTGGTTCCTTACAATTATTTGGCCAGGGATGAATGAATGAATGAATGAAGAATGAACCTAGTGATTCTTGGCTGATTACTATTTGCTATCTAACTTGGCCCTGGAATGAATGAATGAATGAATTAGCCACTAGAGTGAGAGAACGAACACATGAATGAAAGAAGCCATAAATTTCTCTTGTGCAATCATGAAATCTTGATTATTGGGTTAATATCTATTGAACAGTTTCATCATTTAAAGATGGGTTTCCTAATTTTTAAGTGTCAAACTATTTGATTAGTTGATGTTTCTAATGAATTATCATGTATTCTTAATCAATTCATTATGTTCTTATTGCATATAATTAAGAGTTTTAACCAATCATAAATGTCCATGTATGTACTGCCTGGATAAACAAAACAATACTTTTTGATCTTTCTTAATCGGTCACTCATTGGAATTCTGCTGGTAATTCTCTTCTAATTTAGCTAATTATGAATTGATTATGGACATGTGAGACAAACTGGTATTTTTCCAAGTCAGTAGAACACCTCTACTTTCTATTCATATAAGTATTAGCATTTTCATAAATGAAAACACGGGAACCATCTTTAATACAGCACAGGACACTAAAATGAATAAATGAATAAATGAGTGAATGAATCCAACCCTAGTTGTCCACATTTAATCATGAGTTCTTTCCTCTCTTAACACAGCACTGGACTTTGAAATGAAATGGAAGCAACCAACCAAACAAGAAAAATGAATGACACTAGTTGCATACTATGTGAGATGAATGTCCTAGCAAGAGAGAAGAGATAGAAATAAAAAGTCAAGAGCTAAGATAATCAATAATATGTCTGGATGTAGTTTTATTGAACCTACTGTTCTCTAATCAATGGTCTTAATTTACAACTAGAAATACTCTAAATACAGTCATACTCAGAGGGGAATTATAGCATTTAATATCAGATTGCTTATTTGCTTTGAAACATAAAGCAGCTTTAAAGTGACGGGTTTGCCAGTTTTTAGGAGTTGATTTGAGTGTTGAATATATGTAAATAGTCTTCAGAACTACTGGAAATGTACGAAAATTGCATAATTCATTCAAAAATACCTCAAACTAGGAATTTCACTTTTGTTTTTGTGTATGGCAGAGTCTCAAAAAAAAGACATTTGATCAACACACATTGATTTGAAGGTTCAAATTTCGATGGTGAGCTGTGAACACTATTACTGATTAGCTTAGCTAAGAAATTTCTCTTTGTTAGAGGTATGAATGGTCAACAGATGGTGAATCTGCTCCGTTGAAGGAAGCCTATCTACTACTAAGTTCTCAAATTTGGTCAATCAGAAGTCATATCCGTTGTTTCTGTATCAATTCATTTTACTGTTATAAATGTAAGATGAAATAAAATGACGCAACAATTGAAATTTTTTTTATAAAACACCAAAAATTTGAAAAATTGACCTTATTTACAAGATAAATACTGGTATAGAGAAGTCACTGATATGAATAAAAATATTATCTGAATCTCTACAAATTCATAGCCTATTAGTATCTCAGATATAATCTCTCTTATATTTCTGGTTCATCAGTATAAATATAAGGCTTATGTCAAATTTACTGAGAGTTTCACATTTTCTATATGGAATAACCTATAAGCTTATTGCCTGAATATACCAAGTATAGAAGTTTTCTTCTGAAGTTAATAGTATCAGGAAAAAAACTCGTGAGTAACCCTGACAATTTCTGGCCTATCTGTATTAACATTCTATGCTTGAATTTGCAGCCAAGCAGTATAAATATAAGACTAATATGGAATTTACTTTGGTTTTCACATTGTTTAGACCAGTGAATCTCAACCTCAGTGAGATCATTCCTCCCCGAAAGAGTTTTTCATAAATTGATTCCTTCCCAAAACAAATTTCAGAAGAAAAATGTATTCAATGATTAACCATGAATGATATAAAATCATACTCCACATAGTTCTATGTGACCCTTGGGGCGGATGTTCGTTCATGATTTTCTGTATATTCTGGGTGAATGACATCAATTTCAGTCGTAGATCCCCTTGCCTCTCATTTCCTCCCTGGTCAGACGGTTCCTTTAATTTCCCCTCTTGGCAATAATCCCTCCCTATAGTCTTCCGATTACTCCCTTGGGGAGGAATTCCTCCCCTGTTGCGAAGCACTGCTCTTGATAGAAAAACCTGTATTGTTTAATTTGAATACTGAGTAGAGATTATCTTCTGAATTTACTAATAACAATCAAAGCTCTTAGTTAAACAAATTTCTAGCAATCAGCAACTCAGTTAAAATGTCTGGCCTATGAGTATATATATATATGACTAATTCTCAAGTGAAAGAACTTGGTTTAATTTCTAGCTTATCATTAGGTATACCTGTATCATTAGGTAAAATCTTGCTAGAATTTCTAACCTGGCAGTATAAATATTACACTGATTCTACTGTGGTTTATTTTTAACTTCAGTTAACATCAGATGTTAGATATATAACTCATAATAACTATCTTGATATACAACTAGTATTTTACAGGTATACAGGTAGATAGGTATTCACCTTCAACATGTTCTCTGGCATTGCTCTAATGAAATGATGTGAAATTGAGAATAACGTCCTACTTTTCTTAATTTGATTGAGGAAATGAGGCAAGACAATGTCATGCAGTGAGCAATGAGTACATTTTT